CTGATGATAATATATAAATATTCTAGTTTTACAGAATGATTATTCTAACTATAAAAGTGAAATAGATTTTCTTTGTACTACAAAAAATTCTTTTTAAAAGCAATCAAAGCTATAAAATGCTACAATTTGATAAAATAAGATTTTAAAAAAACCAAAATATATTTATCTACGATGTTCAAATGAAATGATACTTTTATTTTTAAAATAAATCTTTTATTGTTATTTGATTGTGAATCTTGTATAGTATTATTAATTAATTATTGAAATATTTAAATACAATAATAATAATAATAATAATAATATTGTACTTTCTAGTATCGAAAAAAAAATAAACGTTTTATAAATAAATATATACTAATTTCAACTTCTATAATTCAGTAAAATGAAGATCTTATTTAAGATATAATTCAATGAAAAAAGTATAAATATGATTATCTATAATGTCTCTTCTTTATTTGAAATCAATTATTAATTTTATATACAATAATAAAATATATATTAAACAATAAAAAAAAGTCTACCACCATAAATATAAATCTCGATTGATAAGTTTAATAAGATAACCACTAACTAATCTTTTGTTTTCGATCAGTTCAGTTACTTATTTCAAGTATATCATGTTTATATCAGTAATACATAAGAAACATAAATTTAACATATTATTGAAATTATCTGAAAAAATATATTCCATTGTTGGCTTTATTTCTTTAGTTTTAATTCCAATTTTAAGATATTCTAATTGAGAAAATAAATTGAAAATCAACTTTATCTTTTCAACATTACAATTGTAAACAAGATTAAATGTTTTAACATTATTTATTTTTGATATATGTTCAACATCATCGTTTCTTTTAAATAAAAACTGTTCAATATCATCATAAAATAAATAATCAATTTCAATTGTATTTAAAGAATATGTATAATATAATATCTGGATCAATTGTTTTAAATGAAGATAAAAATTTTTAATAATTATTGTTCTAATTTTATGTAATGGAAGTATATTCTTTAATATTTCTGATAAAGAATAATCCATATGTTCCATACATTGTTCAAGCGTTAATTCAATAACATTTGGAAAATATTTATTATTATTATTTGTATTATTATTGTCATTAATACCATAAATATAAATATATTTAACTGAATTAAAATGTTTTGTTTCAATACGTGAACATTTTTGTGTATTTAATGACCAATAAAATTTATAATAATTTCTTCTAGAAAGAAAGAAAATAATAAAGAATAAAAATCTCATTTCTTACCGAAATGGTTCAGTTGAATAAAAAGTTCCACTATTAACACGTTGAAATCAGTTATGTTCATGTGTAAAANATCTTATGTTGATGTACTTTTTGATGCACAACCATCATGTTTAATGTCAAAAATACGTAAATGAGGCATATAACATGATATCATATGTTCCCATCTATTTGCATCTAAATATGCTTCATCATAATTTGTTGAAATTGTTAAAACTTCAACATTACCAAAGAAATTTTTTATAATTTTTTCAAATTGATCTAGTTGAATTAAATCAAGTGAAAATGAAACTTTTTTAAAATTTTTTGATAATTGAACAGGATATGATTCATTATAATTATTTGGAGAAGAACGAATAATATAATTAATTGATAGATAACGAATTTTTGGTATACAATCCATTAACTTGTATAATTCATTATATGGAAATCGTGCGTTAATGATTAGATGTTCAATTGAACTAATATTTAAATAATTAGATAATGGACTATAATCACTTTTGATTTGATATTTTATATAACAATATTTTAATTTTGGTAGAAGAAATAATTTTGAAAAAATATCAATTGAACTATCTACATATTCAGCTATATTAAGAGTTAATGAACGTAAATTAAATAAAGACATTAATTCTTGAAAAATTTCATATAAATTATTCATATTAATATTATCAAGAATTAATTTTTCAAGTTGAATAAATTCTGAAATTATATGTGGTGGTGAAAAAACAATATCAACAGTAAATTGATTTGATAAACGAAGAATATTTATTCGATTTTTATTTGGATTAATAATATTTTGATAATAATGTTCGAATTTTGATTTTGATATTGCTAGAGTATTGATTTTTATTAGAATATTTGAATCAACAAGTAAATATTTAAATCGTTTATTAAGAGAAAAAAAACCATAATAAACATGATAAAGATCGAGATATTCAAATACTTCAAAAATAATTTCATTTGATAAATGTTCAAAAACTGATCTAAATAAAGAAAAAAGAAGAAGAAATTACAAAACAAAATAGATTTTTAAATAACTTACTTCATTAGTTTATTATTATATGATGTATTAATAGGGTTATTTGTTTTATATCTAGAATTAAATAAATAAACAACGTGCTATATGACAATGAGCAAAAGAAGATTCTTTTGATTATTTGAGAAAAAAATATTTAATGGACTTTATAATTATTGATTAAATAAATTAGCAGATATCTGTCCATTATCTATTTATTTCAATATCTTTATTTCTTATATATATATATATATATATAAACGAACATGTGTAGTTTTTCTGAAAATTCAATTAGTCGAAAGAGTTAATATGATGATAGACATGTAAAAGTGCTGATTACAAGATTCATTAGATGAAATTATATACAGGGTGTTTCATAAGTTTTGAGGCTTGACAAAAATTAATACATACGCAAACAAAGAGTGATCTCAGACCAAAGGTATTTATATAAAGTTTGAGTACTCCTGACGCCCTTTCAAATGATGTATGATTAGATGAGATCTCATTTTGTAATA